AGGCGAATTTCATCAAAACACTCAGGCTACAAGCTTTATTCTAGTTAATATTCCACGTGCACAACCAGTTAGAGGTGCAGGACAGGCGGGTAGAGGGCGCCCTAGAGGGAGGCCCAGCCCAATGATATATTTGCTATGGTGTGGCTGAGGCCACTATACCAGATGGTGTCGTTACAGGTACATCCTAATTTGTTATAAAAGGATATTTTTTCCTAATTTGATTCGGTTATGAATATTGAGGTGAGTCCTCCTATTATACTCTGCTTAAGAGTGAGCTTCGTAATTTTGTGACCCACTTATATGTTTATCCCTGTTGGGAGATTTGAAGATATTAGCCCGTGTTTATCATTTTTATTTTGTATACTACTGAGGGCTATAAGTCCAAAAGTGACTTTATATGACTCACTACAGTGGGTTTTGATGTGATTTCAAAATAATTGATCTCAACTTTTATGAATTATATGCCCTATTGGTATGAGGGTTCATTATGTGTTGTGAAAAATTATTTACGGAATTTATTGAAAAAAAGAAAGAAAGGAATTTGAAAATTTCAGTTGGCACAATGTGCAAAATACTTGTGATTCAGAGTTGAGGAAGAGATACTCGCATTTTTATATGAGATGAAATATTTAAATTGGGCTACAAGCTGCGGTAGAAGTTATATAAGGACGAGGTCCTTGTGGTAAAAATTTTATGAGTTTAAATTTTGTGAAATTTAATTTGTACTATAGTATTAATAGGGAGTCATGCCCGTTAGACTTATTTGATAATCCTTGTATATTTTTCTATGCTTATCTAGCCATAATTATGTTGTAGACATTGAGTTTTAGCCTATAAGGTTAGTGCCCAGGTGGCGTTAAATGTGACTCGTTAATTTGGATAAATAATTATGAGGTATTCATGCCTCATATTCTGTTGTCAGTGTTGTGAAAATTCAAAACTAGGTTTTAGTTAATATGAGGTTAATTGATGATGCTGGAATTAATTATGAACAAATTTTAATACCAGAGATGTGGTGATGGGCATACATATGATGTGCTTCATATTCTGATATCATTATGATAACGCAGTGCTTGTAAAGCTGAGATTAGTGTTATTGATATTTACATTGTGGTGCTTTGTTGGGTTGTGGATGTGTTGTTGGGAGTTGTTTTGGTGTTACTCTAGCAGGTAGATAGGCCCAATTACAGGGGAGACTCTGCCGAAATTTTTGAAAAATTTGGGAGTTAGTAAAAATTTGGGGGATTGAGACGTGCAAAAGAAGAGATAAGTTATGTTATGTGTTTGAGGGCGAATGATCCTAAGTGTAACACTATCAAGAAAGTTGATGTGTGTGTAGGCACGAGTTGCTATAGCCAGTTGAGACTAATACCGTGCGTTGATGTAAAAATCGGGCCTTTTGGAAATAATTGGAGTGTAAGAAATTGGTTTTAAGGTTTATAACTTGCCTGCAAAATTTAACGTCATTCCGGGTTGGTTAGATTAATTTCGGCACGAGTTTTTGAAGTTGGAAGTTTTGGAAGTTCATAAGTTCGATTCGTGGTACGATTTGTATTTTCGGTGTTGTTTGATGTGATTTGATACCTCGAGCGAGTCCGTGTTAGGTTATGTAACTTGTTTGTGCGTTTAGACGAGGTCCCGGGGGCCTCGGGTGTGTTCCGGGTGGGCTATGGATCCTTTTCCCCCATTTTTGAAATGTTGTTTCTGTCTTTTGGTATTCTTCTTCGCGATTGCGAAGCACCTCTCGCGTTCGCGAAGTGTTACTGCTGAACACTTCATAACTCTTCTTCGCGTTCGCGTTCAACCTCTCGCGTTCGCGAAGGCTTACCTTTTTCTTAATCGCGTTCGCGTCCCTTCCTTCGTGTTCGCGAAGACTAATTTTGGAGGAGGGAATATTTGTTCTTCGCGTTAGCGAAGGTTTGCTTTTTTCCTTTCTTCGCGTTCGCACCAATATCTTCGCGTTCGCATAGCTATGCCATTTCACTCTTCGCGTTCGCATACTGTTTCACGCGTTCGTGAAGAGCAGTCGTTGGGCCATAAGGGAGTCTAAGGAATTTTAATACATAAGGGCGTCTAAGGATTTTTAATCAATGAAATTTGTACATATAAACCAAGTACGTACTCGTCACCTCGCGTATATGATTTTCAATTATACAAATTACACATAAGACTCAGTGCCTAAGGGAAAATTCCCCCCATCGAGGTTAGACAAGGTACTTACCTCTAACTTCTGAAATCCTTGTATCTAGTCACAATTAATTCGATACAGTCAACAAAATTTATATAATCAATTTCATAAGAAAATACTATATTTTTCAATAAAAATCCGAAATTAACCCAAAAATCGCATGCGGGGCCCACGTCTCGGAATCTAGTGAAAACTACGAAATACGAACACCCATTCACTCACGAGTCTAACCATGCTAAAATCACTAAATTCCGATACCATTTCGTTCCTCAACTCGTGATTTTTTATTTTGAATATTTTCTTCAAAAACCACTATTTTTCTCAACTCAAAATACAAATTAAATGATAAAAATAAAGATAGTATCATGGAAATAAATAAATTCTAGGTGAAGAACACTTACCCAATCAATTTGCTTGAAAAACCCACAAGAAATCGCTCAAAATCGAGCTCTATAAATCAAAATGTGATAAAAATGGTCTAACCCTCGATTTGGAAATCTTATATTCTGCCCAAGTGATTGTGCATCGCGAACGCGGAGAAAGGATCGCGTTCGCGAAGAAGAAAAATGAAAGCTGCCCAGTTGTGCTTCGCGAACGCGACAACATGCCCGCGAACGCGTAGAGGAAAAGTCTGATGGCCCAACGACTGCTCTTCGCGAACATATGAAGCAGTATGCAAACGCGAAGAGTGAAATGGCATAGCTACGCGAACGCGAAGATACTGGTGTGAACGCGAAGAAAGGAAAAAAGCAAACCTTCGCGGACGCAAGAGCTTTATCGCGAACGCGAAGAACAAATATTCCCTCCTCCAAAATTACTCTTCGCGAACGTGAAAGAAGGGACGCAAATGCGATTAAGAAAAAGGCAAGCCTTCGCAAACGCGAGAGGTTGAATGCGAACGCGAAGAAGAGTTATGAAGTGGTCAGAAGTAACACTTCACAAACACGAGAGGCGCTTCGCGACCGCGAAGAAGATCACCAGAAGACAGAAACAACAGTTCAAAAATAGGAAAAAAAGACCCGTAGCCCACCCGGAACATATCTGAGGCCCCCGGGACCCCGTATAAACGCACAAACAAGTTCCATAACCTAACACGGACTCGCTTGAGGTCTCAAATCACATCAAACAATGCCAAAAATACAAATCGCACCACGAATCGAACTTATGAACTTCCAAATCTTCCAACTTCGAAAACTCCTGCCGAAACCAATCTAACCAACCCGGAATGACGTCAAATTTTGCAGGCAAGTCCCAAATAATATAACGGAGCTGTTCCAACTCTCGGAATCGCATTTGGACCCTGATATCAAGAAGTCCACTTCCAGTCCAAAACTTCAAAAGTTTGACTTTCGCCAATTCATGCCTAAATCAGTTATAGACTTCAAATTCACAGTCCGGACACGCTCTTAAGTCCAAAATCACCCAACAGAGCTAATAGAACCAACAGAACTCCATTCCGGGGTCGTCTTCACACAGTTCCGACTACGGTCAAAATTCTAAGACTTAAGCTTCCGTTTTAGGGTCCAAATGTCCAAAATCACTCCGAATCATCCGGTAACTGAATTCAACGATGCACGCAAGTCAATACACATAATACAAAGCTGCTCAGGGCCTTATGCTGCCGAACGGGACTTAAATTCTTAAACGACAAGTCGGGTCGTTACATAAATAGACTGTCATTATGCAAAGTATATACAAAATAGACTGTCATTATTCAAAAAATATACTAAATAGTAAATAGAATGTCACTATACAAAATATATACAAAATAGACTGTCACTATACAAAAAATATACTAAATAGACTGTTATTGTACAAAATATATACAAATTATACTGTCACGATACAAAATATATACAAAATAGACTGTCACTATACAAAAAATATACTAAATAGACTGTTATTGTACAAAATATATACAAATTAGACTGTCACGATACAAAATATATACAAAATAGACTGTCACTATACAAAATAGATATTTCGGACTATTAGATGTAATATGTTTGGCCCGGAGGGACATTTTGTGTCAATAAAAAAAAAACATGAGCTATTAAAATTTAGAGGGGTTATAGAGGGTCATTTACCCTATTAATAATAATACGCAATTGATTATTTTGGTTTATGCGGAGGTGAAGGATAAAGAAGCATTTCTTTGGATCTTCAAATAGTAGTTAGTGGAACTACAAAAATTAAATGAGGTAGGCACCCCATAAAATTCCTTCAATATCTAATTTTTTTCTTTCTAAATAACAACTCAATTTATAAAAAAAAAAAAAAAAAGAAAGAAGATATTATCACAAACTTGTTCCAAGAAAGTTTTTTAAAAAAACACTTATAGTCAGAAAGAGGAACAAGAAAGAATTGATTAGTACTAGATTTTATTGATGTAAAAAAGCAAAATTGTTCTTGAAAATTTAAATTGGTTTTCCCCTTGCTCCAATTCAAGTGCCTTAATAGTATTACCATTAAATTTGCATCTTTAGCCACTATTTATTACTTATTAGACATTGATTTCTGTGCATATGATCTAAAAAGATGAGTATAAAATTTGCTAAACTACAAATTATGAAATGCTTTGAATCAATGCACTTGCGATGCTGTCAAGAACTAGAGAACTTCTCATCTCATACTTCAACAGAAATTTTGCACAAAACCCCTCAACTTTCTCTTGATCTTTGCTTAATAAACATTCTGGAGATAAAAAAAATGGTAAATATTACTTGGCAAAGAAGGTCTTACCGAGGAATCATATACAACCAAACCTCTCTATAACAACATCGTTTGTTCCCAAATATTTAGACTGCTATAGTGAAGTGCTATAGTGAAATGCTATTATGGAGAATATATATTATAACATTACATGAAAAATTGGTTCTAAAGAAAACTTGGCCGTTATAATAAAATGCTGTTACAGAGGATGGATGTTACATAAAAGTTTGACTGTATATTGATATGACAGGTTTCCTTCAGACTTTGATTAAGATAGATAATCTAATCTACAAACTGCTTCTCAACCAAGCCAAAACGGGTTCACCATTTAATAGTATAAGCTAACTAATATTTACACTTTGGTAACTTCATGGATTGCACTTGCCAAGTATTCCACATTGCTGCTTGTTACCCCTGCCATGCTGCCATATGATAATGCATCAGTCATGTCAATTGTAAAAGCATAAAAAATGGAGATCAGAAAATCTTTTGTTCTTTCTGTTTTCTTTCTTTTAATTTTTCTTTTCGTATGTTTATGGTAGAATTCAAAACCAATACTCTATTGTAACTTCCCATTTGAAAGTAGTTTCAGAGAAATAAACCACTTAAGAAATTTCTTGGAGAACTTGTCACCATGGGCGGAACTAGGTAGAGTGAAGGGGGTTCAAACCGAACCCCCTTCGTCGGAAAATTATACTATAAATAGAGTAAGAATGATCTGTTTTGGTTATATCTGAGCTGTTGAATCCCCTTGATATGAAGAAAAATTCACGTATAGTAGTAAAGGGGGATCAAAATTGATTTAGGTCATATGTTCACATTCCAATTGTGACATCCTAGAATTTGTTTGAATCCCCTTGTATATATTTCTGGTTCCGCCACTGCTTGTCACTACTACAAATGAGTTAACTTAGTGGTCTTTGACAGCTTTTGCTATTTTAACCTACTATGTGTGGTTCTATTGATATCACCTTTCCGATCACAATACAATCTGCATTGTCATGTATACTGATATCAGTACTTAAATTCAAGAAATCTGACTTAAGTACCTGATGCGTCCATCATTAGTCATGTATATATGGAAATCCCTCTGCAACCGGTCAACCTCTTTAGGGGATAAACCAGAGAAGTAAAACATTCCGACCTGAAATATTGATATTTAGCAGCTGTATTTGATATACGGTTGCACAAAAGACTTAAGAAATACCTGCTTGGTTATATGTTCCCAGTTTGCAGACGAATTCAATTGTTCAAGATTTCGACGTAATTCAATTCTCATTCTGATCATGCGATCCACCATGACCTTAGGCAAAAGATATAATCAGTAAAGCACAAGGAATGGAATGGTAATTAGGACCTAGTAATACATAAAGGAACATCAATTACCTTAATATCCTCTTCCCAAAGTGCCTTTAAATCAGCATCATTCAAGATTGTGGATACTAATAGTGGGCCGTGAAGAGGAGAGCTACTGTACATTGCCCTGACTATCTGCTGCAACTGACTCTTGATTGCAGCGGCTTGCTTTTCATCCCGAGAGACAATACTGGTTTCCAAAACAAAAACAAAAAAAGAAAAGGGGAAGCAAAAAGAAAGGAAGTTTGAGAATTGGAGACTAATCACGAAACCAGGAAAGTAACAGACCGTGTGGACTACTAAGCGCTAAAGTGGATTCAGGATTACACTAAGAATGGACAAGTTAAAGTTACTTTGTTGAATCTATTTTTATTTATTCGGTAGTTTTTTCCCTTTGTTTGTTCAATGGATTGAACAAATTGTCTAACTGATGAAAATTTAGTATTATTTCGGTGTTGTTCAAAATGAGTTGTAGAATACTGTAGCTTGAAGCGATCTACCTGATGCAACCTACTCGGTGTCCATATAATCCCATGTTTTTGGAAAAAGACTGAGCACAGCCCAGTAGATGTCCGTCTTCAAGAAATATCCGAATAGCAGTGGCATCTCTCTCAAGGTCCCCGCTAGCAATCCCTTGATAAGCCATATCAAAAAAAGGAAAATGATTCTTCATCTGAAACCAATTTACACAAAAGATACCACATAAGATAGACTAAATAGCAAATAAGAGAAGAAAAAAGAACATATTATTTCATTAACCTTGAATAGGTGAGAGATTTCTTTCCACTGCTCATAGTTGGGGTCGACGCCAGTTGGGTTATGAGCGCAAGGATGAAGTAAGAAAAAGGAATGATCTGAAGCATTCTGTGAGATTATCAAATAAATAGGGTCATGAATAGTATTCTAAACTCCTTAAGCGGAAAGTAAACAAAAGCATAGTTTGCCTTCAGATATTGTAACCACATACAACAGTATCGCAAAACGAGTATTCGTATAATGATATAATGAATATTATTGTATGGCTGCAAGCAATGGCGAAGCCAGAATATTCAATAAGGATGTTCAGTGGCAAAGCAAGAAAATTCAATAAGGGTGTTCAAAATTTAAACACCCTTTGCTAGTGGGCTATGTAAGGATGTTCAAAGTCTATTTTTTTATCCATAACAAGTATAATATTTTACCCTATACACAATATGATTTTTCAGCGAAGGGTATTCAATTGACCACCCTTGGCCACACATAGCTTCGCCCCTAGCTGCAAGGGCATTTTCTCTATTACATTTTTCAGGTAGGAGGATCATATGCATAGTTACTTTCTGACATGATTCTTCAGCAAAGAGTTTATTGGCTATGTTGCTCGGAGTACTCTCCAAAAATGTTGTCGCACTCGTGTCAGATCCTCCAAAAATGCACTATTTTTGGAGAATCCGACATCCACCCAACAACAATTCTGAAGAGTCCGAGCAATATAGTTTATTGGTTACATCTAAATTGCTCAGTAACATAATCCATCTTTTACTGAGGCACACAATCTCATATGTGCAGGAAAAGGGTATAAAGTCATGTAAGGATGTAAGATTTGGCGGTGAAGTTAAAGCAAATATTTCACAACAAAATTTGAGAAAACTCATCCTATCCTCCAGCATAAAACCAAACCTTGATATCCTTCATCAGGGCTTGAAATTGCAATCCTTTTGTATCAGGATCATAATAGCGGTAGGTACTCGTACAAACTTCAGAATCCCTCCAAATGTCATTGTGGCTTCAAAGGACTCACTTCAATCACATTACAAATTAATAACGACATGGCATGAAAACGAATTATAAACATGAAAAACATTTACTTGGACCAAGTTGGCATTGGTAGAAACATTTGTGAGTCAGGATAGAAGCGCCTTTGGAATTCAGCAAACAGACGGCATGCACCAGTTCCAGAAAGAGCTGGAACTCCAGCAAACCTGCTTTCCTTAACAACATTAGAGTCATATCCATAAGCCAATTTTACACAGTCCTGCACGAACTTTGACTTTGTTGTTGCTTTAGTTGATTCCCTGCCAAGACCAGCCCAATATTAGACCAAACGACGTGTTTAACAAAAGATAGAAACGTGAAAATAGAACTGCAGTCCCATATCCATTGTAAGCTTTAAGAGAAAGTTTGACTGTAGAAAAGCACAGCACAAAACTATAACCCCGTACACAAACGAGAAAAACAATGGTCATGGTTGCAGTGAAATAGGATGAATCCAGAAAACATCCCTCATTGGATATTTTGCAAATATTGTGAAAGTATTTGAGCACTCAACCAAAAAATGACAAGGCAACGAGTGAGGTAACCCAAGATCCCTATAAAAATATAACACTTTGGATGCTCTTATACATCCAATGTGGGACATTTTGGACTCATTTAGGCATAAATATTGTTCCACTCTTTGCAAATACTGAATCCAGTAGTTTGGCCATTGCAAATACTGAATTCCATTCTTTAAACTTCAAGTAAAATATTGAAACACTGGGTTAAAGGTGTACTTTAAGTGAAATACTGGTTTCACTTACAAATCTTCAATTGTTTTCTAAGTGAAGTTCATTCCAATCAATAGGTCAAATCCACGGATTTTTTTCAACTTCAACTCAAACATTGTCCAACACCTAGAGTACTAAGAAAAAACTGAAGTACATATGAGCACGAACATTACCCAACCTCTTCAGTAAAAACAATATGTCGGTCCCAAACTAGTTGGTTTTGGCTATATGAATCCTTAATATTTGCCCCGCACCACCTAAACATTTTTAGCCGTTTCATTTCAATACACAATAATTTTCTCATCCTCATCAATCCTAAAGATATAGACTAAATAATGAGCAATATTAGTCATCCTACAACTGAAGAAAGATGAAACATAAATATCACTGCAATAACCTGAAATCCTTCCCATATGTTATGTTACTGAACTCATTATCTTCCTTGAAAGAACATACCCCCCCCCCCCTTTAAAAGG